TAAGAGAAAGTCACAACTGATAAATAAGTAGCAATTACGAGCTTGAAAACACAACGTCCATAACACATTGTATTCACCGGCACAAAAATGCTGTGGTTACTGGGACACATTCAAGCGTTGTGCTATCTAAATCAATATTTTTTTACCATCCTTACCATCCTTACTGAATCAGGGCCCATATTTTGCAACCCAACAATGATTTACTGTATTAAGTTATATCTGAAATATTCGGTCTACTGAGAACAAAGCATCACAAACAGGGCTGTACACAATTCACACTTAAAGTATTATCTCTATTTAAATTTATGAGTTGAAATTTAAATTTATTTGGCCACACCCCACATGAAAATAGGCATTAAAGAAGTGAAATTTACTGCATGACAATTCAAAAAGAAATAGGTAATGGCATTGACCTGGTAAGTATTCTACTGCCCTGGTACATAAATACAATCTGTATCTATCTTCATCAAAAATCTATTTATGTGAAGACATAATATAACTATAAAAAGTGATCTTGATCTTGTTTACTCCACATTACTATATCACAATAAATCACATTGTCAATTTACCACCCTTGTCTGAACTACAAGCATGTCACAGGAATACTATACCTTTTTTTTTTTAAATGGTGAACATTCCCATAGACTGATTAACCAGTAGAAAACAAGAAACTAACTATGCTGCCATTTACAGTATGTTCTTGAGTGTTGAGGAAAGCCTCTACCAACAGAGGGCGCTCTTGCTACAGAAATGTTTATTATACTACTTTCTTTCTTTTACCACCTTTGTAATTGATTATTTTAAAAATATGGATAAGAAATATGTTCCAAGCTAGTTAACAGGAATGCTTTTTTTATCTCGAGACAAGAGAAACTATTAATGGGGGGAAAACACTGTACAACATACAACACTACAAGCAATGCCTTCTAATTCTGCAAATAGGAAAAATAATATTTATGTGAAGACATAATATAACTATAAAAAGTTATCTTGATCTTGTTTACTCCAAATTACTATATCACAATAAATCACATTGTCAATTTACCGCCCTTGTCTGAACTACAAGCATGTCACAGGAATACTATACCTTTTTTTTTTTAAATGGTGAAGATTCCCATAGACTGATTAACCAGTAGAAAACAAGAAACTAACTATGCTGCCATTTACAGTATGTTCTTGAATGTTGAGGAAAGTCTCTACCAGCAGAGGGCGCTCTTGCTACAGAAATGTTTATTATACTACTTTCTTTCTTTTACCACCTTTGTAATTGATTATTTTAAAAATATGGATTAGAAATATGTTCCAAGCTAGTTAAAAGGAATGCTTTTTTATCTCGAGACAA